GCCCTCGCACCGCCCTAAAGCAAATCGGCGGCCGCTTCGGCTCCAGTGTCCTCTCCTACTTCCTCTTCCTCTCCTCATGTTCAACATCTCCTCATTCCTCATCCTTCTTGTCTTCGTGGTTCGTGGTCAGGCTGCGTATCCCCCTGCCTTGGCCAGCCCCCGGCCCTTCACCCGTCCAGTGTCCTCTCCTACTTCCTCTTCCTCAAGACGCTCCTCATGTTCAATATCTCCTCATTCCTCATCCTTCTTGTCTTCGTGGTGGCCCTGCAGGCTGCGTATCCCCCTGCCTTGGCCAGCCCCCGGCCCTTCACCGGCCTCGAGCTCCTCACAGGAGCGGTAAGCACTGCCAGCACATCAGTGCCAGCGCATCCCTGAGCCAGGAGCTGCTCCAAGCCCAGGGCCCAGCCCTGCATCCCTGCATCCCCTCCACAGCGATGCCCCAGTCCCTGCCCTGCATCCCCTGCCATGATGATGCCCCAGTCCCTGTCCTTGCACAGCCGGGGCCCTGGGACCACCAGTGCTGTGGGTGCAGAAGGGGGTGCCTGGTGCTGCCCTGGCCCAGGGCTCTGTGCCCCCGTGGGCTGGCACAGTTGTGCCAGGCTGGGCAGGGAGCTGCAGGCCCCAGTGAGATCACCGTGGGCCCCATCGTGCACTTTTCCACAGGGCTACTTCACTCACTCGCTGCTGTACTACGGCTACTACAGCAACATCACCCTCAACGACCCCTGCGCCTCCAGCCCCAACGGCAGCACATGCCCCCTCGCAGTCCCCCTGCTCCCGTACAACATGCCACTGGCCTACGTGTTCAGCGTTGGGGTCTCCTTCCTCGTCACCTGTGTCCTGCTGGTATACAGGTGGGGCAGCAGCACCTCTGGCACTGCCAGCCTTCCCCTCGCCGCCCAGCCCTGATGCCCTGACACCCTCCCCCTTGCTGCAGCATGTCCCACTCCTTCGGGGAGAGCTACCGCGTGGGCAGCTCTGCGGGGGACCTGGCCGTCAAAGTCTTCTGTGCCTGGGACTTCAAAGTGATCCAGAGGCGCTCAGTGAAGCTGCAGTGTGAGAACATCCGCACCCAGCTGAAGGTGAGGAGCTGGGCTGGAGTCAGCCCCTGCACGCCCTGTGCCCTGCAGTGGGCAGGCGAAGGCGTTCACAGGAGCCAGTCCAGACCCGGGGCCCAGCACCCCTTTCTTACCCGCTGCACAGGGGAGCCCCGCAGCTGTAAATAACCCCTGACCCCAACCCTGCACCAGCACTTTGTCCATCAGCCCTCTGGGTCCCACCTCAGTGCAGCAGGACAAATCCTCGCTCCGGACCCAGAACATGTTCAGCAGCACCGGCACTGCTCTCTTCCAGGAGCTGCTTGCAGAGCAGCGGTCCCGCTCCCGCTCCCTGAGCCTCTGCCAGCGCCTGGGGCACACTGCTGTGCTTCTCCTGGCTTGGGCCGTCTCGCTGAGCACAGTGCTGGGCTGTGTGCTGGCTGTGCACTACTTCTCGGAGCACATGCACACGGTGAGTGCCGCCCCTCGCCGTGGGATCTCCTGCCCTGGTGTTGGGGGGCCGGGGCTGGGGTACCAGGGAGGGAGGCCAGAGCAGCCCTGGGAGGCAGGGGCAGCCCCGTTGCAGCTCCCCTCCTGGCGTCGGTGCTTGCTGCCCTCCCCGAGAGCGCCGGGCTGCCGGCAGCTGCACGCTAACCCTGGTACACACTCGCCAGGTTCAGCAGGACCACCAAGCCCGGGGCAGCAGCGAGTGGCAGCAGGAAGTCATCCTGCTGGTCCTGCCCCTCATGGTGTCTCTTCTCAACGCACTGATGCCCCACCTGTACAACTTGCTGGCGATGTGGGAGAAGCAGGACTCCCCCGTGGCAGAGGTCTACGTGGCGATCTGCAGGTAGGCTGGCCAGGGCGGGGGGGAGTGTCCTGCACCCCCACCTGCAGTGTGGGGGGAAGCTTTGGGGCTGGGCACCCCGTCTGTGGGGCTCGGCCCCTCCGTCCCCAGGGCTCAGGGGCTCCCGGCCCCACTCCTGCTCCCCAGGAACCTCATTCTGAAGATGGTGGTCCTCGGCCTGCTCTGCTACCAGTGGCTCAGCCGGAGAGTCGTCTGCTCGACAGAAGAGGTCAGCACTGCTGCCCCGGGGCCAGGCAGGGCTGGGCTCTTTGTGAATCTGTGCGAGGAGCACGTGGCACCCATGTGAACCGGCTGGGCCATTCCATCCGGACTGTCCCTTGCTTGGGGAGTGCAGGGCAAAGCCAAGGCTGCAGTCCCAGCACCGGCAGGCAGCAGGGGCAGGGGTCTGGCAGCACAGAGTCTGCCGGACGGCACCACAGGCACCATCGGCTCCTTTGCCAGGGAGAGGGGGGTGACAGCCAGACAGGGGCACCCCAAACACGGGGTGGCTGGGGAAAGAGGTGCAGGGGAGGAAAAGGTCCCGCAGCCTCTCACACCCCATGGGGGCCACGGAAAAGCCATGGGGGAGAGAGGCCTCGGTGCATGCTTGATGCCACCTTTGCTTGTCTCCCCAGTGCTGGGAGACATGTGTGGGGCAGGACCTGTATCGATTCGTGGTGATGGACTTCATATTCACCCTGCTGGACACGCTCTTTGGGGAGCTGGTCTGGAGGTAACGTGCCCCAGGAGGGGTCCCTCTGCCAGTGTGGTATCCCCAGCACGGCCCCGGCTCTCCGCTGCCCGCGTGGCGCTGCCTTGGTGCACCCAGGCTCTGCCACCGTCTGAGGGGGAAGATGGGTTGCCGAGCATCCCCCCCACAGCGGCAGTGTGGGAGCAGAGCTCCGCTTCTTCCCAGGCTGATCTTAGAGAAGAGGCTGAAGAGGAAGCAGAGGCCTGAGTTTGACATCGCCCGAAACGTGCTGGAGCTGATCTACGGGCAGACCCTGGCCTGGTGAGGTGCCATCTTGCCTGGCACAGCTCTGCTGGTGAACACCTCATGGTCCCCTGTGAGCCCCGCAGCTGGCAGGGACCAGGCATGGGGAGCTGCACGTGTTTCGCTGAGCGGGGCCATGGGAGACCCCCCCCGGCCCTGCATGGGTGGGACGAGGGAGACGGGCAGCCTGACAGTCATAGTGCCCGGTGCCGGCACCTTACAGCCACAACCCACACGCTCACCTGGGAGGTCTGACTTTGGCGATGGGGTGAGAGCGACGGGGGGATCAGCAGCAGAGCATCCCGGCACCGGTCCAGCGTCCCTCGCCCAGCTGGTGCCCTCCAGAGCTCCGGGGAAGGAGCAGGCTCCAGTGCACACACAGCCCCTCTCATTTGTCCAGACCATAATGGCACTCGCTGCTTCAGGGGACTTGCTCCCCTCCAGCCTGTCCACTCAGCTGCTCAGGCTCTTGCTTTGCCACCCCCCACCTTTCGGCAGCCCTCGGCCTTGCGCCCCCCTGCCCGAGGAGGGGATTCACACATGTGCTGCTGCGTTCCCACTTGCAACACACCTGGGAGCCACAAAGGCTACAGCCGTCCCGGGGGTCGGTGAGATCCCAGCCCCAGCACAGGCTGCGCAGCAAGCCTGGGACGGGGCGTCACGTGCTTTTTGCTTTGCAAAAGCCTGACCGCAGCTGGCGATGGTGCCCTGCCACTGCTCCCAGCTCTGCCCATCACTGGCTCCCGCGGGGCCCAGACTTGGGACGAGCTCATCTTCCCCCCTCTCTCCCAGGCTGGGCGTTCTTTTCGCACCACTCCTGCCGGCCGTGCAGATGCTGAAGCTGCTGCTGCTGTTCTATATCAAAAAGGTGTGAGCTGCCCCCCACCCCACAGCTCCCCCCGCGTTCTCACAACGGGCAGCCCTGCGGTGACGCTACGCCCTGCCCCAGTAGCGTGCAGCAGAGGTGCTGCACCGTGCAGTGAGCAGTGCCGTCCTCGTGGGAAGGGAGGAGGTGTTGCTAGGGACAGGGTGTCCCCGAGCTCGCTCAGCTCCCAGCGGATGGGAGGGATGGGACAGCGGGATGGGGGCAGCTGTCCTGCTTGATCTCCTGGGGCCGCTTCCCAGGAGATGTCAGCATGCAGGACTCTGCTCCCTGTCTGCAGACCAGCCTGATGCAGAACTGCCAGTCCCCCAGCAAGCCCTGGCAAGCATCTCGCATGAGCACTGTCTTCATCACCCTGCTGTGCTTCCCGTCCTTCCTGGGTGCAGCCATCTTCCTCTCCTACACCATCTGGTCGTGAGTACCCACCGGACCATGGCTTGGGGCGCAGAACCGGTGGCTGCCTGGCGAAGGAGAGGAACTTGGGGAGACCATGCCTCCCTGGCCCTGATAGCACGCAGAGCACATCGTGCCCAGCACAGGGCTGTGCAATGCTGCCCCAGGCAGGGAGATGCTGCCCAGCCGCTGGTCATTGCAGAGAGCGTAGCAGTGGTTGGCCTGTGCCCACTTCTCTCAGCTGCTCCTCGTGCAGGACAAGGGGATGAGGACCCCCTCATCCATCCACTGGGAATGGCTGGGGCAGGCGAGGCTTGGTCCCTGGAGGGCTGGACATCTGAGGCCGGGCAGTGCCCTAGGCTGGGGGTAGTGGCCAGCTGGGCTTCCCATCACTCTGACCAACCCTATCGCTCTGACCAACCCCCATCGCTCTGTCTGCTCAGGGTGCAGCCGTCAGAAACCTGTGGTCCCTTCCAGGGGCTGGAAACCATCTACAAGTCAGGGAAGACCTGGGTGCAAGTGCTGGAGAAGTCCAACCCGAACATCACTTGGTTCGCCTGGGTCCACCAGCACCTGGTGGAGAACACCTTCCTCCTGTTCTTCATGTCCGGGGTCCTGCTGTGAGTAGGGACCCAAGCCCAAGGCTGAACCTGGGCCCATGCTTTGAGGGTCCTGCTGTCACAGCCCTGAGCAGGGGGCTGGGAGCTGGGGTGTCACTCCAGAGCCCTGCGCCCTGGCCCGGTGCCAGGAGCGCAGCATCCCCCAGCTTCCCGCCCCGGCTGCCACCATCCTGTCCTTGTCATTGCAGAGCTGTGATCTACTTCAACATCCAGGTGGTGAGAGGCCAGCGGAGGATTATCCACCTGCTGAAGGAGCAGATTGCCAATGTGCGTGAGCTCCACACACTGCCCCTGGCCAGTCCTGGCAGTCCCGGCTGCTCCATGCCCTGGTCCAGCCCTGGGACTGCCAGATTCGGGCTCTAGCCCTGACAGCGCTGCCACCTCAGATGTGCAAGATCCCATCCCACAGCTGCTCACCGCAATGTCTCTGCTGTTGCAGGAAGGGAAAGATAAAATATTTCTCATTCAGAAGCTTCACTCTGTTTACGAGCAGAGAGAGAGACGTGCCTGAGTCCCAGGTGAGGCCTGCATGAAGGGGAGAGGGGGGCTGCCAGGGTGCTCGGAGCTCAGCCGGGCGCGTGGACATTCCTCTGCTCTGTGCTGGAGCGGGGCCAGCAGGAGCATGACAGCACGGCACTGCCAGGGCCAACCCAGCTGCGGCAGAGCGCTGCTTGCTGGAGAGCGGGAAGGCACAGGAGACAATGGGGTGAGCCAGCCTTTCCCAGAGACATTTCCCCTCACTCTGCTGCCATGGGCGGCAGCGTGGCCGCCTCAGCTGGCAGCTGGGGATGCAGGGCTGAGCATGCTGGGGAGAAGCCTGGGCTGCTGGGCTGCCCCAGTACCCAGCCTGTGCCAGGTGCTGGATCCCTGGTGCTGCTGCGGCCCAGGGACGGCACCGGCTGCTAGCAGAGACAGCAAAGGGACAGGGAAGGGGATGGGGACATTTAAAGACCCTCCTCTCCGCTTTCAGCATGGGACAGTGCTGTCTGTCCCCAGCAGCAGATCCTTGGGGTCTCAGGGACTGTATCTCTCCTCTTAGTGTCACACTCTCCAGGAAGGAGCGGGACGACAGGACTCTGCTTGCAGCCAGGGACTGGGATCCAGCCTTCTTTCTGAGCCATCGCGGTGTGGCGCTGGAAGCAGCGGGGCCGTGGGGTACTGGGGAAGATCCTCTCCTCCGGGTTGCAGTGGCCAAGGACGCACGGGGGCACATCGTCTGGCAGCTCCGTGGGGATGCTATGGCACAAGGACGTGGGTGGTCCCACTGCCCAGCGCTGCTGCGCACGCAGCAGGCGCAGCAGGACGAGGGCCAGCACTGCTGTCGTGTCCCAGGGCACAGCTCCACACGGGACTGGCTTGCCAGCAGAGCCCTTCTCTGTGGGCGGTTACTGTTAGCAGAGAACAATTCTCCCTCCTGTAAACACCCCAGCCAGCCTGGAGAACAACTTCAGGCTGTTTTCAGAAGCCTTCAGGGACAGTGAAGCTTTCTGGCTGGAGAGAACCTGCAGCCCCCTTTGCACTGCCCAGGAGCAGCAAGGCTGGAGCCAGGAGCTGCCAGGCACCAACCCAGCTCCAGCCCCGTGTCTGGTTCGCCAGGAGAGCAGCTGGCCGACACCTTCCCCATGAATGAGGCCACCCGGCTCCCCTGCCCAGGCCAGGCAGCCCTGTGGGCACACTGCGCCTGCCGGCAGGACAGGTTCAGGAAAACCACCATGGTGCCGAGTGCTGGGCCGGGCAGAGGAACATGAAGGCTCTGGCTCCCCAGCCGCAGGCTGACCTGGCCCATTAAAGCATAGCCGTGCAGGAGGGCTCCCAGCCTGTGTCTGGACCTGTCGGGCTGGAAGCAGGCAAGTGGGTTTGGTGCATCAGTGTCAGCGTTCGTTCGGGGTGGTGACTCAGCAGCCACGGCAGGGTGTGCTCGGGCTCCGCAGCATTGTCTGCCTGCCCACCAGGCTGCCCCGGGAAGAGCCCTGCTCAGCTTGCACCATGGGAGCAAGGACCACTGCCACCTCATCGCATGCGGCCCTGGGAGCCACTCGCCATTGCGGTGTGGTGTCGCCAGTCCCAGGAGCCACTCACCATTGCAGCACGGTATCTGCAGCCCCAGCCCTGAGAACTGCTTTCCTCCACAGCACACTGCAGCCCTGGAAAGCCGGTTGGCCCCGGGTCATGGCACCGACAGACCCAGAGAGGGTTGTGCCGCGGTGTGTGCCAGGTCCGGGCAGCCACAAGTACCCCCGTGACTTGGCACTCGTGCTGCCGGGTGACGCAGCTGCCTGCCCAGCTGGGCGCTGGGCTGGGCTGTCAGCACAGGCACAGGATGGGTTATCGGTGCAGGCACAGGATGGGTTCTTGGCGCAGATCCAGCCATTCTCTAAGCCCAAGTGAGTGCCGGAGAGCAGCCACGGGCTGGCACTTGCTGCAGCTCGTGAGATGTCCCCGACCGAGGCACCCCTGCAGCTCAGCCTGCCCCGGCTCCCACCACCCACCCAGGTCCCCCACAGTCTTTCCGCATGTCCCCCTGGGTCACCCCACGAGGCCCGCAGGGCCAAAGCTGCCAGGAGCCCCAGGCACACTCGGCCTCCAACCCGGGAGGCATTACCTGCCCTGCTTAGCCCAGCCCAGGTGCCACTGCACCCCCCCAGCCCCACTGCCCATGAGCACCACAACCACCTCTACTGCACCCAGAGGTGCCAGCGCGGTTTGGCTTCTGAGGCTCCTGCTCGTCCCTTCCCCAAAAGGCCAGGGTTTCCACCCAAGCACAGGGCAGCCACCAGCCTGGACAGTAAGGTGGAAGTTTTACTGTAAAGTCCCACAGGGGTTCTTCCGCCACCAGCCTGTGACGCCATCCTGGGCCCTGCTCCCAGCCCCATGCAGGGCAGTTGCTCGCTGGCCGCCTCCTTCGGTGACAGGATTTGCCTGGGCTGCCGCAGGCACGTGGGCAGGGGCAGGGTCAGCGGGGGTCTCCGAAGGCGGCCCGAAGCCACTGCAGGACATCGGCCAGGCCGGTGCCGTCGCGGGCGCTGGTCTCCAGCATTGTGATGGGCTGTGTGGCGCAGGAGACGATGTCCTGCATGCGGAACAGCGACTTCATCTCCGCCAGTGACATGTAGCAGGGCAGGTCACTGCAGCCGGGGGGGGAACACACACACAGTGCATTAGCCCACCATGACAGCTCTCCTGCCTGGCCCAGCCCCCAGCTTGGGGGTCTCCGCAGGCCCAGCCAGCCCAGGGAGTACGGCGAAGCGCGGCTGCTGCCCCCCCAGGACACGTCAGGCTTCCTCGGGCGTCACCCGATGGAAGGGACACGGGAGCCACCACAGGCCCTCAGCGTGCCCCTGCGCACCCCCACCCTCTGGGCTGATCCCCCTCCTCACATCTTATTGAAGAGGACCAGCACGGGCACGGAGGCGAGCTGCTCCGCAGAGAGGACGGACAGCAGCTGGACGCAGGACGAGGAGACCTGGGTGGGGTTGGCGGCGTCGACCACGAACTGGAGGAGAAGGGAAAACGGTGGTGCGGGTGTGCCCAAGGGCAGCCCCGTCCCCGTCTGGGCCAGATCAGGGCACAGAGGAGGGAAATCACACAGCCAGGGTGAAACCGAGGGGCCCGACTCCCCACAGCGGAGCGGGGGTCAGCACCGACCCCCAGCCACGGGGTGCCCCTCTCCCTGTGCCCGTGTCGTCCCCCCCCCGGCCAC